TAATAAATATGTAAATAGTACAATAATGTACCTCATCTCAGAAATATATGAACCAGATGACAGATACTGAAATAATGTAAATAGTTGCATAATACCTTCTCTCAAATATAGACCGACACGTTGTAACAAATATGGCGACAAAGATGAGGACAATAGTCCGAATAAAGTGTGCATAATACCTTATCTCAGAAATATAGACCGATACAGTTCTCTAATGTTGAAAGTACACAACCTAGAGACCTGAAGTGGAAATCTTATATATTAGGTACCACCACGAAAACGCTAAAAGTCAGTATACCGTGATGAAAACAGTTTTATCGTCAAAATGTTTATGTTATTATTAAGAGGAAGGATCTATGTATTTTTTGAATATTAAATTAAATTTTTTACTCCTTTTTTTAGGACATTCGAAATTTTGATTATAAAACATGTTTTTCATGCGATCAGCGTTTGTACTGACTTTCAGCATAGCAAATTTTCACCTCCTTTACTTTGAAAATTCTTGCAAAAATCAAATAATTGTCGAATTTTAATGAAATTTTCAGGACTTATTTACAAACGAATAAAATTATTTTTTAAATTTTCATTAAAAAATCTTGGTAAAATATTTTTTTTAATTTACATGTTTCTCTCTGTTACTTAATCTTATGAAACCTTGAGGAAATGATCAAGATAATATTTAGTGACTATATTAGTTGAAAGCAGAATTTTTGAATAATTTAAATCACCGATTTTTTCTTCTTTTTGCAAAATTGAACCGCCATCTTACCAAAAATCTGTTCTGAATCGAAAAATGCAAAACTTAATAAAACTAAGAGATTATTTAATTAGAAAAGCCTTTAATTGTTTTTTTTATGAATAATCTCTATCTATAAAAGCAAGATATGTGTGTGTGTGTGCAACGAATGCACGGCCGCAATTTTCGATGGATTTGCACCAAAATTTACATGCACATGCTCTAAGTTAGCGATATGGCCAAGACCGACTTTGCATTTCCCAACTTTCATCGATAGTGGAAATAATTGATTTTTTCAAGCTTCTACGGCAGTTTTCATGTAGTTTGCGGCCATTTTTTACTGGCTAGAGTGAGAGCCAACAGCTGACTGACACGAATGTTAACTAGCATGCTAGCATGCAAAAAAAAAATCGATAGCTACATTCGTCACAAGTGGGAAAAATTTAAATCTGCATGGCACTTTACTCCAATTGGCTCATTCGCTTGCTTAAAATCAACGTTGATTCTGATTCCGCAGAACTGGGTTGGGTGTGAAAAAGTATTTGTTGTTAATATTCTTTTTTCATTCGGTTTTTCCAGTTACGAGTCCTTTTTTTTTAAAGCTGATCGTGTTGTGTTCATTTTGTTTTGTTCTTTTTTCGTAACAGATTTAATGTTTAGTATAGAGCTTTGAAAAAAATTCGCAATGTGAGATAGGCAAGAAGTAAGGCAAAGGGCACTGCTTTAAAGTAAAGGAAGGGTAAAAATATTTTAAGTCTCAGTGATAGCGATTTCTGTATGAGTCGTACGATTTTTGAATCAAGCACGGGCAACGCCGGGCCATGCTGCTAGTATATATTAAAGACAATATTGTGTGAAGAAAATAAAGTTTTCGATGAATAATAAATTTTTTTCACTTTTTACAATATTTTGCAATGTAAAATTGAATAATTTATAAAGTTTTTGAATCTTTTAAAGTTCATTTTCAATGAGATAATTCTTAGGGAATATTGTTATTATATTGTTATATTTACTAATCAAATATTTTAAAGCTAATTACAATCTGAAGACTCGTTTCGATTTGTTTTATATAGACGCAGAATTTCTGAAGTATGGATGTACAAACCGATCAATCTATTCTTAAAAGTTCACGTGTTTTAAGGTTTCTTCCCTATACGGAAAAAACAAAACCCGCATGAAATGTGTCGTCTGCTACACCATAATTAACTATGAACACGATCGGCGGTGAATCCGCCGTCAATAAATCGATTAATACGTCAGAAAAACAAGATCACATAGTTAGGAAATGCTTGTATACAACAGCTTATGCTATAAGTAAGTAATATTTGTTTCGAATCAGATTAACTTACAATTTGCTAATTTTCCTCAAAATACGTTTCAGAAACATATATTTTATTTTTGAAAGTTTTTAAAACGGAAAATTAAGCATTGTTTACAAGTGTCTAAAAAATGGCTGATGTTATCGATTTTCTGAAAAAATTGCTAGTCTATTCCAATCGATGTAATTTCTGTCTAAAATACACCAAAGTATTTTCCTTACCGGCTCCAGTAAATTTAACCGTTTAGCCTTCATTTAAAGCTAAATTGGAAGTTTAAAGAAAGCTTTTTCATTTTCAAAGTATTTTCATTATATAAATGAAATCTTTTTTTTAATGATTTCACTCAAGAAAGGCAATAAAGACATCAGGGCTAAAGAAATTACAGAGTGTTAGAAAATATGAGGAGAAAAAAAAACTACTATTAAGGAGAGAGTACAATAAAAGAAAATATGAATTAAGAAGACTATATAACGATTAATGGATAGCGAATTGAAGAATCGGAGAGCCGAGTTCGAATTCCGTTCGAATCCATTACATTCACTTACGTGCTAATAACTTTGGGAAAAGTATGAATCCTCTACTTATCCCCCTTCTCAGCTATGGGTAAATAGCAGGATAGAACGGGTTCTATAGCCTTGGATAGCAACTGGTCTATAGCAGAAAGAAATGGCAACCTACTGCGGGAAAAAAATTCTGGCTAGTCAGTCATATATCGAAAGATACATAATCGCCTAAGCGTGTATCACGCATGGCACATAACTGGATGACCCATGGGAAAGATATAAATCCTCTTCTTATCCCCTCTCCCCAGCTATGGTTAAATAGCAGGGCAGATCTACTTCTATAGCCTTGCATGGCAACTGGTCTACCGCAGAAAGAAATGGCAACCCATTGCGGGGAAGAAAAAAATCTGTCTCGTCAGTCATGTATTGAAATATACATGATCGCCTAAGCGTGTATCACGCATGTCACATAACTCTCTGATATAACGATTGGCATTGCATTTCAATTTTTGAAGATCAAAGTTAACTGGGAAGCAAGAATTTAGAAGAGATTTTCCCAAGTGAGAAGTACGAGAGAAGAAACTACTAGCATAGAACCTACGGTTACATCTAGTCATTTCAACTGTAAAATGATAAGACCTAGCCGCCAATCAAGCACTGCGCTTAAATTCATACAGTCTAGATGTCATAGCGGAAAATTCATCAGAACAATTACCGTGAAATTATTTATAGAAAACGAACAAGGAAGCTACGTTACGACGGTAGGAAGGGACTGAGAGCCGAGATGCCATGTCAGGATCTAAAACATTGCATATTCTTCTTTAGATTTTATCAAGAATCTCTAAATATATAGCCGGGGCGCCAGTCCAGGTGTGGCAGGAATATTCACAGCAAGAACGACTGGTAGTCTTAAACATTTGTATGATAGATTCTGTCAAGAAAAATTGTCTAGCATGACATAGTGAACACACTTTCTTAGCTGTAGGTTTCACCATTGATTCAATATACTCTTTCCACTTCATGTCAGCTGAAAATGAGTCACTCTCCTGGAGGTTAGAATCAGTCATGCTGATGGGTGGGAAAAATGATGATTAAAAGTGAACGGTTTCGTTTTTGAGGCGTTATAATTACCAAGTCACTTCTTGCCCCATTTAACAACAGATTGTAGGGTTTTTTTTAGATCAGCTGCTAATATGACCTTATCGAACCGATCAGGCTTACTATTAAGAGAGAAAATAGTTGTTTCATCAGTACAGATACCGAGCTGAGAACTGAAGACATCAGGAAGGTCATTTATGGAAATTAGAAAAAGAATTAGGTCTAAGGATAACGACCTTATAAAAATCATGGCATTAATTTTTACGAAAAATACATCTGATAATATCATGGCAAATCAAACACTTACATACTTCCAAATTAATTACAGTAATCAATGATTTGAATTTATTAAATATATATGCGATGCTTTCATAAGTGCAAAGAAGTAAAGCACCAATTAAATAAACTATTGTTACACTATTTACATTACTAAGACTATTGTCCTCATCTTTGTGGCCATATTTACCACAACGTTTCGTCAGTTGCACGCTCCAGCCTTCTTCAGTGATTGGAATGTCAAACTGAACCCTTTATTTCGCTCGCTGGATTAGACTGTTCTAGTTCCATGTGCCATGTCTAATATATGCCAGTTATCAGTTATCTCCTGTTAATTCACCTCTCCAAGTTCTCCACTGCCTTAACCAGGTCGTTATGGACACATGGCACAGTGGATAAAGGCGTTAGTTAGATCCAGTAACAGAACCCAAAGAGTTATGAGTTCAATATATGGTTAAGGCAGTGGAAAACTTGGCGAGGTGAAGTAACAGGAGATAACTGATAACTGACATCCATTAATTATGGCACCTGGAACTAGAACAGTCTAATCCAGCGAGCGAAATAAAGGGTTTAGTTCGACATTCCAGCCGGAGCGTACAACGGCAGAAAAGTTGTAATAAATACGGCGAAAAAGATGAGGACAATAGTCCGAATAATGTAAATAGTGTACATAATACCACATCTCAGATATATAGACACCAACTTTTGTTAATTTTTCAAGCAATTGTAATTCTTTGAGGTTCGGGTCGACATATAATAAATATCTAAGGGAATAAATAGAATGTTATTTATTCACAGTTTTTTTTTTTTTTAGATATTTTTTTTCGAAAGCGTTTATATTTCTTTCCTAACATTATAACTTCGTAATCGGAGCGTTATTTTATGACACATTTGAAAATGAGTAAGCTGTCGGCTGCTTTCTTTCATATTTATTTTCTATTTTATTCTTACACGCCCCTTAGATTCCTTTAATCTCGTTAAATATCGTGCGTCAAATCTCGTGTGCCCGAAAATAATAAGTATGTAATAAGTAAAAAAGGAAACGCGTGTACCAGAAAAGGAATGCAGTCAAGAGTAGAAAGCAGAGGGAGAGAGAAAAAAAAGACCCTGGGTGGAGAGTAGAATAAAGAAAGAAATCCCATAAAATAGGCTAAATAGAAATCAACAGAGCGTAGTTATTATTAAATTTACTGTGAAATATTTTTCATTCGCCTGGATAAATTGTTCGTTAGATGAAAGATTAACATAGTTAGTGACAAGTTCTTCCCTAATTCGAACTAAGGCATTTGTAGGCATACGTACGCATATAGATTTTATCTACATATAGCAATTTTTGCATAGAAGCAAACATGCGTCCACCATTTACCTTATAGGTATAAATCTATAGGCATATACGTAGATACAAACACACATAGACACGCCATTATATCAATATTAATAAAAAAAACGAATGTAAATGAATATATATATATATATATATATATATATATATATAATATATATAAAAGAGCATTTCGCTTAGCTTATCCGCCTATATATATATGTATATATATATATATATATATATATATATATATATATATATATTGACATTTTTTATGTTTATATGTTCTTTTATAGATACAAATATTTAAATAAATGCTCTGTTTATAATATACAAATATTTGTACCTATAAAAAAATATCTTAAAATAATTGATGGATTTTGTCCATTTCATATATATATATATATATATATATATATATATATATATATATATATATATATAATTTTTTATTATATTTTATATAATGAAAATATATAAATACATACATACAACAAACTATTTCTTATTTAACAGTTAAAATATTTCATCCTTGAAAATAGCTAAATCAAAATATCTTGTCTGTCGCATTCAATGAAATGTGCACACCCACACAGACACACACACACACACACACACACATACATACATATATATATATATATATATATATATATATATATATATATACAAATGTAACCCGGATATAAGAGAGTTGTCAGGACCGGAGAAGAAGTCTCTTATATCCGGGTTTCTCTATATCCGGGTCTCTTATATCTGGGTTACACTATATATATATATATATATATATATATATATATATATATATATTAAGAAATGGAAGTCCGACAATTTATTTATTAAAGACATTTTATATTTTAACGTTTTTTTTATGATACAAGTATTTAAATAAATTTCTGTTTATAATAAACAGTATTAAAAAAATGACATTTACCGGCCTGAATATCCGAGAAATTTTCATAGAAAGGACGAAAATGTTCATAGAATGTCAAAGGACGAATAATTTCTATGAAAATTTCTCGGACATTCAAGCCGGTAAATGTTATTTAATACTGTTTATTATAAACAGAGCATTTACTTAAATACTTGTATCTATAAAAAAAAGAACGTTAAACATAAAATGATTTAATATATATATATATATATATATATATATATATATTGTTCGTTTTCAATCTTTTAAAGATTTTATGCAGATTATAGAGCATCCCTTGGAGATTAAAATCGCTACGTATGATGGACAGCAACGAGTAAAACCCATTGAGATTATTTTTATTCCAATGAAAGATCAATTATTCAAACTCAGGGAAAATACTGAAGAGATTTTAATTCCAGAGCCTCTCCTAGTTATAACATGATTCGAAACCTAATCACCCGTTCTGAAAGAACTGGATTTTCTTTCTTTTTACGTGCTATACCCTTTCAGGACGAATGTGATCATGGCTCTCCACTTCCTCCCTCTAACCCTTGCAGCTCTCAACAAGTTCCTTCCCTCTGCCATCTCCCCCAAGACCACGTTCTGTCATCCACTTGCTTAAGTCCGCCAGGTATGTCACGCGTTGTTTTCTCTTGTCTCTCTTTCTCTCTAATCGACCCGTGAGTATTAGATTCTCCAGCCCCTCCTTCGTCATTATGTGCCCCAGAAAGTTCAGCTGCCTCTTCCTAGTTTTATGCATAAGCCACCTTGTTTGCATCCTCTCTAAGACCTCATCGTTACTCACACGTCCGGTCCATGATATCCTTAACATCCTTCTGTAGAAGCACATCTTCATCGTCTCGAGTCTCTTCTTACTCTTTGAAGAAATTGTCCAACATTCGCTGCCGTAAAGAAGGACAGATATCACGTAACAGCTTAGTATTCTTTTATTTGTTACCAAAGATAACCCCCTGTCTCGCAGTACTCTACCCAGCTTTTGGAATGTGTCCTTGGACATCTCAATACATCTACGGATCTCAGTGTCACACTTACTGTCCTTTCAAACATAGATGGCACGATCATAGGTCGTCATTTAAGCTAGTACGTCTTAGGTGCTCTACCAAATTAGCTAACCATGTGTGGAATTTAAACAAAAAAAATCCAGAAGGGATCCGATTGTAAGCTGGAAATTTAAAAAAAGGCAGAAAATTAGAGCAACCACAATTCTATTTGCAACCTTTTCTAACCGGGAAAATTAGCAATAATGAAATTTCCTAATCTAAATAAAGTTTTGAAACAAAACTTGAAGTCCTTGTATGCATACTAAAAAATTCTTCTTAAGCACATATGAGGCTGGGTAAAAAAAAAATCACATTACATTCCTCCCTACCAATTTTTAAAAACTTTTTTTAAAAATGTTTTTAAAGAATTTCATTTTTTAGATTGATGTTGAACATACGATATTTGTTCGGTGTTAAGCAGCAAAACACTAAGATGCGATAAAATGTTTTATTTTTCATGAGAGATTAAAATCATAAGACAGCCACAAAAATATAATATAATATATATATATATATATATATATATATATATATATATATGCTCTACTTTTGTATCGAGCACTATTTTTAAAAAATAATAACCTAACGAGTTCTTTCTTTGATTTCATTGCCGACTTTCACTGTCTACGAATGACATTATATATATATATATATATATATATATATATATATATATATATATTAATAATTGAATGGATATGAGTTTGTGATCCTAGGTTTCACGCTTATGCGATCCTCAGACAAACCTGAGGTCGTATAAACGTGAAACCCAGCGTCAGAAACTCATATCCATTCAACTAAATATGTTAGATCTATCACTGATATTGAGTGCTTTTTTAAAGCAACACACACACACACATATATATATATATATATAGCAACACACTCATAGCATCCACTCAGAAATATATATATTTCTGAGTGGATGTATGTGTGTTGCTATTTTTCGTTTTTATATTGTCTCTGTCGTGTAGATATTGAGCACTGTTTTTTATTGAAGTCGCAATTGTAGGTTTTAACAATACTTCGACTTGTACACACACATACACACGCGCATATATATATATATAGATAGATAGATATATATATAGAATATATATATAGATAGATAGATAGATAGATAATATTAGTGGTAAATATACATACATATGCAAAATATATAAATACCCATACATGTATATTTTCAGAAAAAATTTCCAAGAGGATAGAATCCAGGTAGAACTCAATGTCCAGGACAGAGTAAGGATATAATAAAAGGCTTAAACACTAATATTCCATGGTCATAATTTATTCCATTGGAATCGTAATTACATATATATATATATATATATATATATATATATATATATAGAGAGAGAGAGAGAGAGAGAGAGAGAGAGAGAGAGAGAATCTGTTTTTCCATAATATCCGTTTAGATGAAAAATATGTAGGTTTGAGTGTCTCCTTAGGATTATTTTACACACACACACACACACATACACACATCTCTCTCTCTCTCTATATATATATATCTGTGTGTGTGTGTGTATGTGTGTGTGTACTGACTCATCCCTTACCCAACACCGAACCGAAACTGTCCCTGTGCATCTATTTAAAATGCGCAAAACTGGCAACGACCTTCTCCTTCTCTATTTAGTTACTTACCGAACTTGATTCCACTCCAATGTACAAATACTTAAACCGGCAACCAATGACTGCAACAGAGCTCCTGGTGGCGAGTCCCTTAAGTGGATTTCTTTGTCGGCCTTCGATTATTTCCCCTATTCTTCAATAGCCGACTGGTCACTAATCAATACTTGACCATGGCTCAAGTAATCGTTTTGAATGTCAGATTATTCGCGCACGGGCGAATCGGCGGATCACACCTGACACACGTCGACTCTTCGTGTTGGTCAGTCGCTCGGTGAATGTATTAAAGACGGCGGATCGTGGCAAAAGGGAGAAAGCCAACACCTCTGTTTCGGATTGGTCACTTTTTTTTCTTTACTTGTTTAATCTTCATATCAGTATTATGCTTGATATGTCTATCAATCACGCTGTGTACTTGTCTACCTGTCTACTTGCGACGGTTTTGATGTTTCTCTGTTCGAATTTATCATTTTTCTTTGCCTGGCACCTTAGGATTATATATATATATAACAGTACTCCATACAGAAGTAGAGCCTAAATTATAATTATTTTTTTAGTTTTTATGTAGCGAAGGAATCCTTTTTTTTTAAATAATTATAATATATATGATGAAATGGACAAAGTGCGACAATTATTTTAAGATATTTTTATGTTTATACATTCTTTTTCTAGCTACAAATATTTAAGTAAATGCCCTGTTTTATAATAAACAGTATTAATAACTGTTGTGGTAGGATCCACCTAATTTGCATAGTGGAGTACCGACCATATAAATATGGTTGGTACCGGGAAGAGAGGGAGGAATCAAGAGATTCAACCAGAGACTCTTCCCGACTGCGACTCACTCAACACATTCTCCAGGAACGGTCTTACCAGGAATATACAAAAGACTATATGTAAATATTGTGTACACTTTCTTGTTTCAATACATTTTGTTCTAAGTACATTTTGTGTTGTATTATTATTCCATGCATTAGTCAAGTTTCAACAATAACATTTACCGGTCTGAATATCAGAGAAATTTTCATAGAAAATATTCGTCCTCCGACAGGAATCGAACCTGTATCCTATACGGAACCGTCATATAGCCTGACGTGCCTTAACCGATTGGGCCACAGAGGAGCGTTCGGTTAGCAAGGTCGATTATACTGTCTTTAAACTACAATCTTCCATGAATCTCTCACGTACATTTATATCTGCTCATGGCGTATCCATATGTAAACAAATGACGTCACATATTATGAAATGGACAAAGTCCGACAATTATTTTAAGATATTTTTATGTTTATACAGTCTTTTTATCGATACAAACATTTAAGTAAATGCTCTGTTTATAATAAACAGTATTAAACAACATTTACCGGCCTGAATGTCCGAGAAATTGTCATAGAAAATACTCGTCCCCCGACAGTATATATATATATATATATATATATATATATATGTATTCTTTCCGTGTCCATCTCCCAACGACTGCTGTCAAAAGTTATGGATTTCCTTGGTTTTGTTTCAATTCCCAGCTAAGGTTTGACAGCCAATCGTTTTTATTTAATATCTGGTTAACAAGTTTGTCTCGCTAAAAAAATTACGACTGATTAGTAAGTTACCTCATCACTGGGAGCCCCCATACTTTCGGCCTTGTGCCACATTTAATTTTACGTTTAGAAAATTACGTTACTAGCTTAACCAATAATAAAAAAAAAACATTCTAAGTGTCAGTAGATAGATAATGGTCCAGTTATATGTCTACCATTTGATTGGTTCGGTTTGTTTTGTTTTACGGCATATCAACCACAATGGGTTATTTAATGCCGACAAAATTTCCTTTTTTTTCCAAAAATATATAGCCGGTAATATTTTTTTTTAAATGTATAGTTTGGTTTGTTTTATTTTGTGGCATATTAACCTCAGTGGGTTATCTAATGAAGACTTTTATTTCTGGTAATATTTTCTTTTTTCAAATATTTATTGCTGATACCAATTTTTTAAAAAAGTATTTCTGGTATTAAAATCGATTGTTACACTTTCACAGTGCTTTTGAGTCAGGTTGTAGGGTCAACTATTTGCCCATAGCTGGTACCCTAACAGGTGCTACCACCCCGGGTCAGGGTAGAGCTGGGAGCACCAGCAATTAAGTAGTGGTTCCACGTTCCTCAAAACCTGATCAGAGGACTTGCTGCTGGGTACGACGATAAACTACTATCGTCGTACCAAGGACGGTCTACCATTTGATACTATTTCCACAAGTAAATTACCGGCTGATACTGACCTATCGATTGTCCCGCTCAATAAAACTGGTTTACAGAGAAATATAGGCTATCATAAAAAATGAGTGTTCTAACTTAATTTTTGGGTGCTGATTTATGACATGAAACCCGTTTTCACACATTACTTCAAGTTTTTGAAATATACATGTATACATATATGTAAAATGTATATATACATACCTTCAAAATTTCTGCTTCTTCCGGTGATATACATTGGAATTTCGAATGTCGTCTTTATGTCTATAAAGATGAGGACAGCAGTGTAAACGGTTGCAATGCCTCATCTCAGAAATATAGACAGATGTTGAAAGTGAATAGGATAATTGTTGTGGTAGGATCCACCTAATTTGCATAGTGGAGTACCGACCATATAAATATGGTTGGTACCGGGAAGAGAGGGAGGAATCAAGAGATTCAACCAGAGACTCTGCCCGACTGCGACTCAGTCAACACCTTCTCCAGGAACGGTCTTGCCAGGAATATACAAAAGACTATATATAAATATTGTGTACACTTTCTTGTTTCAATACATTTTGTTCTAAGTACATTTTGTGTTGCATTATTATTCCATGCATTAGTCAAGTTTCAACAATAATAAAGATGAGGACAACAGTCCGACCAATGTAGACAGTGTAAACAGTTGCAATGCCTCATCGCAGAAATATAGACAAATGCCCCTATAAAAGATGAAATAAAAATAAACATTATATTTTGAATTTATATGGGGAATTTATATATTTGAATTCAGTCCATCAAAATTAGTTTAAAATTTCTATTCACATGCTTGCCTCAGCGACAGTTTTATTTGTAAACCAGTGGTCTTCTATAATTTAAATGCAATATCAATCGCCATCATTTGTTTCCTTGAAACTTGTTCTTTTATTATTCCCACTGTTTTTGTTTCATTCTCATTAATCCTTTATATGCTAAATGTGGCAATTTCTTGCTTGGAGGGAAATGATGAAATGAAATGGTTACAGTGTAAATCTTTTTTTATTGCTTCTGTGACCGACAAAGATCATTATTAATATAAGATATATGTTTAATCTTCCTACAGTTCAGTCAGTTATGTGCCATGCGTGATACAGGCGATCATGTATCTTTCGATATATGCCTGACAAAGCAAATTTTTTATCCGCACTAGGTTGCCATTTATTTCTACGGTTGACTAGTTGCCATCCAAGGCTATAGAACCCGGTCTGTCCTGCTATTTACCCATAGCTGGGGTGGGGGAGAAGAAGAGGATTCCTACCTTTCCTAAAACTGAATCAGTTATGGGCAATGATTGATACACGCTTAGGCAATAATGTAACTTTCGATACATGATTAACGAGGCTGATATTATTCCCCGCAGTAGGTTGCCATTTCTTTCTGTGGTAGACCAGTTGCCATCAAGGCTACGGAACCCGTTCATATTCATAATTTTCCCAAGGGTATTAGAACGTAAGTGAATGTAATGGATTCGACTGGAATTCGAACTCGGCTCTCCGATTCCTCAATCTGGAGACACTATCCATTACTCCACCAGACCTCCTCCAGTTACTTCTCTTTAATATAATAATAATAATAATAATAATAATAATAATATCCTACTTATGTTATATATCGATATATTCTTACAAAACCCAGGGAAGGGTCTGTAATTTTATCGGTCCTAACCTGGCAACACGGCTTCAGTCACTTTCTAAGCGCCCTGATCTGGCTTTCCTCTGTCATTTTTCTCATATCATATATTCTACAAATATTTTCATGGTAATGATTCTAATGTGCTCTCCGATTTGATACGTAGACCGCGTGAATTTAAGCTTACTACAATATTGGCAATGAGTTCTCAACGTTTTACTGTTGAAATATGATATATAACCGCAAGTCCTATTCTAATAGTTTCTTCTTTCGCACTTCTTCCACGTGGAAATCCCTCCCGGCTTTTTGCTTCCCTGCTAACTACACTGGTTTACAAATAAATATAAGCAAGCATAACAATAACTATTCTAACAATATTTTGGGTCCTGATTTTTATATTTCACTCATCACCTCTAGTTTCTGAGATATACATGTATACACACACACACACACACACACACACACACACACACACACATATATATATATATATATATATATATATATATATAGAATGTATATATTTAGGTTTAGGACATATTATAATATGGCCTAAACCTCTTCCTTTCCCCTGTAGTTGTTTTCCACAGACGTAACTTTGTAAACTACGATATCGGTATTTCCATAGTAAGGGTTTCAATTTCGAATTCCGCTACTTCAGATCTCTACGGCTAAGATACATCAAGCTACGTCCACAGAGTTGAATCGCCGTCATTTCCTCCGTGTTCCAAATGTAAGGGTTTACGGCCATATTTCAATCAAACACCGGTTCTCGTATGATAACAGAAATTAGTCAATGTTGAAGCTGGTCAGCACCGAGATGCGTCACTGTTTCGGGATACCAGGTACCGTTAGCTTAGATTTCCAGGTAGTGTAATGGATAACGGCTCGGAATTGCTAGATCAGAGGCCAGAGTTCTATATTCCAGTTGGGTTCGTTATATTATTATTATTATTGTTATTGTCATCATCATCATCATTCGATTTCTGCTATGGACACACTACCTGCAAGTCTGCGGAAGACCTATCGTGGTGTGTTGTTATTTCGGTGAAGTTGCTAGCGTTACATAGACAAAGTTCTCATAGTGTGTGTGCTGTACTTAATAAGACAATTTTTCTGTATGTCTCTTTAAGCTGGGGTTTCAAGGATTCTTTCAATGTGTTGTTTTGTTCCATTTTATAATTCCAAGTGCACCTATTACCACTGGTTATTCTTGTTTTCAATTTCCATTTTTTCTATTTCAATTTCCAGGTCTTTGTATTTTGATAGTTTTTCAAATTCCTTGGTTTGCTATGTTACAATCAATGGACAAGCCATATCAATTAGTAAAAAGTTTTTCTTTCTGGTTTTTGACAATAATGTCCGGCCTATTTGCTTCAATTTTTTCTGTCTGTGTGGATGGTATTATTATTATTATTATTATTATTATTATTATTATTATTATATAATAGAGTATTAAAAAAATTTTCATTTTTACGGACCTTTACACTAAAGCTTATTTCATATACATCTAAACCCTATATATGAATTCACCATATTATTATTATTATTATTATTATTATTATTATTATTTTCTTCTTCATCTTCTTCTTTTTCTCCTTCTTCTTCTTCTTCTTGGTGTCGTGTCCGCTCATGACGTTGACTATCCACCGAAACAATCTAAAATACACATTGCACAAACATAAAAATGAATAAATGAGAAAGAAAAAAATATTCCCCAGGAATTAATGAATTTCATTTTTAATCCGACATTTACTTTAAACTTTGTATTTTATTGGACACACGTGTTTGAGTAGATGCCTGGTTTTAAACAGATTGGATTACTATTAACTCCACTTAGATTCGGACTATTGGCCTAATCTTTGTTGTTGTTGTCACAACGTCTCGTCTGTTGTGAACACCCACCTCCCTGTCCTTCATCCGTTCTGATATTGTTGTTAACAATAACAAAGGTGAGGACAATAATCTGAATAAAAAACAGTGTAAATAATGATGACTCCTCATTCTAGAAATTCAGACAGGTTGAATTAAATCCGGTACATTCAAGTGTGTTAAAAAAAGGTAATGTGCCCTCTGGTGGGATTCGATCCTACATCGCCCTTTTGTAGGGGGTGGGGAAACCACTGTTTGGTCAGGCGTGTTTTAGTATAATACCTTTTAAATGAAACAAGTATATAAAACAAGAATAAAGAAAGAGGTTGACAACGTACAAAAGAAAGAAAGAAAGAAAAAAGAAAGAAAGAAAGAAAAAGGAAGGAGGAAAGAAGAAATGAAGGAAAGACAAGTAAAAACGAAGGAGTGGAAAAATGAAAGAAAGAAGGAAAGAAAGAAAGAAGTAAGAAGAAAGAAAGGAAGGAAAGACGGATAAAAACGAACAAAGAAAGAAAGAAAGAAAGAAAGAAAGAAAGAAAGAAAAAAGAACAAATTTAAAATATATATCAGAATTGAAATGGAAATACACTGGAACGGACAGATTGAAAAGAAAGAAAGAAAGAAAGAAAGAAAGAAAGAAAAAAAGAAAGAAAGAAAGAAAGAAAGAAAGTAAAAGGAAGGAAGAAGGAACAAAAGAAAGCAAGACAGGTAAAAACAAAGGAAAGGAAAAATGAATGAAGGGAAGAAAGAAAGAAAGAAGGAAGGAAGGAAAAGAAAGAAAGAAAGAAAGAAATAAATAAAAACAGGTAAAAACGAAAATACTTTTCAGTCAATAGTTTTCAGTTATTTCCGATTCTTTTACACCGAAAAAAAAAAAAAAAAAAGACTAAAAACGGATTTCGGCTTTTATTCCTACAAACCAGAAGAGTAAATTATTTGAAAATATGTTTTCTTTTCTTTATCGTGGTGGGTAAGATGGAACTGCCTTTTAAAACGAACTCTTCACTTTTATTTACATTTTCTTCATTCATATCCACTTAGACATATTTTTAATATCTAAAATTAACAGCTGATACAGACAATTATGTCCGTGTGTAGACCAAGGTTAAGGATCGGGCTGATTTCTTTTCACCAACAAGAACAAAATCTACATACATTATTTTCACTCTATTGCATTTGATCCTCGCTTATATACTTATATAAGGAAAGAAAATGAGAGGGAAGGCGATAGAAAGAGAAAGAAAGATAGAGAACGAAAGAGAAAAAAAAACGAACGACCATTTTAAAATGTTGAGTACGCGCTATCCTGGATAGATAGATAGGTAGCTAACTGGATAAAGAAAGAGAGAGACGGCGTGAGAAAGATCGAAAGAGAGAGAAAGAAATAGAGAGTGAGAATATGTATAATGGGATGGTGTTTCTATGGGTTCAATTCTCGGCCCAACTTTTAGTAATTTCTATATGTCTGGTCTAAAAAAGCAATATATTTAATAAATTTAAAAAACCTTCACTTTACCTAAGATATGTTGATAATATCCTTATCTTAGTCAAGAATATGGATGAAATATATCAACCCCCCAAAATGTTCCAAAATAATTATATCCTTAAATTTAAAAAAGAACTTAATATTAGTAATAACATTCCTTTTCTAGATATACTGATAATTACTACTAATAATTAATTCAATATCACCGCATATAAAAAAAAAACTATTAGCATAAATACGTGCCCAATAACTATAAGAATGAATTTCGAAATTGCTATAAAATATCAATTATAAAACTAATAAACTGTGCAAAAATTAATTCATCCACAAAACAGATTTTCTACAGTGAATAAAAAATATAAAACACTTTTATTAATAATAACTTCCCTAATTATATTGTCGATGAACAAATAAGATGTTCTATTAGAAAATATAGTATAAAGCAAATAGTATATAATAGTTTTCAGATGACCGTAAACATACTAATCTCTTATATCACAATGAAATAGAAAATATTCTAAAAATCTTATAAATACTAATATATCTACCACAGATCCTAATAGAAAAATAAAATAGAAAAATAAAATTAATTATATACTAGACTAAAATAAAAATAAAATCAAATTTAATCATTCGTAATGAGTCCTACGATCTTAACAACATAAGATACGCAGATAACATAATACTGATAGCAGGCACGGAAAAGAAATTTCAAATCTGCAGATGGTAGCGAGGGAGAGTGTGAAGAAGGGACTAAGCATAAACTACAAGAAAACAGAATGCGGAAGGCCGTGGTTGAAGCCAACGGTGATTTTATATTACGAAAACTACTGTTAACTTGCATTAAGGAAGTCCTATTCCACGATCACAAAAATAATGTACTGTGGGATGGTGTTTCTATGGGTTCAATTCTGGGCCCAACTTTTAGTAATTTCTATATGTCTAGTCTAAAAAAGTAATATATTTAATAAATTTAAAAAAGAAAACCTTCACTTTATCGAAGATATGTTGATAGTATTCTTATCTCAATCAAGAACATGGATGAAATATATCTACTCCAAAAAACAATTCCAAAATAATTATATCCTTAAATTTACAAAAGAACTTAATATTAGTAATAAAATTCCTTTTCTAGATCTATTGATAAACACTAATAATAATGAATTCACTCTCACCCCATATAAAAAAAAATGCGTGCCCTATAACTATGAGAATGAATTTCAGAATTTGCTATAAAATATCAATTTTAAAACCTAATAAAGCGTGAAAAATTTTAATTCATCCACAATACAGATTTTCTACAGTGAATAAAAAAATATAAAACAAACTCTTATTAATAATAACTTCCCTAATTATATTGTCGATGAACAAATAAGATGTTCTATTAGAAATTTTAATATAAAGCAAATAGAATATAATACTTCTTCAAATAGTCCTAAATATATTAATCTTTTATATCGCAATTAAATAGATTCTAATTATAAATAGGATGAAAATATCCTAACAAAACTAATAAATATTAGTAAAAATTAAATAAATTATATACTATACTAAATTCAATATATCCTATTTAATCATTCGTAATGAGTCCTCGCCACCAATTAACGCGTTGCAGAAACCCAACATTACATATAAATTTAAACGTCACTTGGGGCATTGTATATCCAACAGAAAAAAAATATTTATGTTGGTCACACTACAACTACGGTGTCTGGGAAGTTGAGTTTTAATTTGAATGATGCATCTAACAGTTTTAAACTATTACAACAGTTGCCTGCTCACATTCGTTATTTAAAAAGATTCTCGTTGAAAATACATCTATAATTTTTCATGACAATAATAAATATAGACTAAAAATTCTTGAATCTGTCTACATTAAAAAAGTGAAACCAACCCTTAATAAAAGATAATTATGAATATTGCACAAATGTTTTTAAACGTTTCCAGCAAATAGGTTAAAAAATGTCCAGGTTTTAACTAATGGCTTTAAATAGTTAAAAAAATAAACATCGTAATAATTTAGTTACCTCCATTGGCGTAACTGCACGAATATGCTTACATCATAAAAATTTAAAATCGTACAGTACATAAGTTTAGCGTTTTTCACTTCACAAATAAATAAAAATAGATAAATAACAAATTTGACTTAGTTAAAACAAGACCCTGATAAAACAAGACCCTGGAGATGACAATTTGCTAATGTCGAAAGTACTCGGAATAAATGAATATGCATCAATATATATATATATATATATATATATATATATATATATATATATATATATAAAAAATATAGTTTTAAGGTTTGCTATATTTATGGAATAAATTGCTCAATATCAGAGATAGAGCGTATATAAATATAAATATAAAGTGAACATTGAAGTCAACACTCAGGGGCGAATGGCTGTTTCATGCTAGACGCAATCCTCAGGCCTTACACCTCTGAGTGTTGACTACAATGTTCACTTTCATACACACACACACACACACACACACACACACACACACACATATATATATATATATATATATAGAGAGAGAGAGAAAGCATACATTTTGCAATGCTGTATACATGCGATTTTGGAGAGAGATATATAAAGATAGAGAGATTGAGAGAGAAAAAAATCATTTCGCAATGTTGAGTACGCGCCTTTCTGTATATATATATATATATATATATATATAAGGGAGAGCGGGAGAAAGAGAGAGTGATAGAGACAATGAAGTATTTTGACATGTTGAGTATACACCATTCTGGAGAGACGACCTCTCTAATTAAGCAATTTCTATTCATTTCAATAACTTTATTCCACTTTCAATAGAATAAGAGAATGTATTATTGATTGAATACTGTTTTGGAGCTGAATGCAACAAACCTACTCTTCCTTATAGAAACGAATGATATTTTGCTTAGTAATTTACATCCATTCTTTTTTCTACGCAGCTACGTCGATAAACCTGAAGTTTATTAGCAAAAAAAACAAACAAAAAAAACACATTTTTCTTACATAAAAAATAATTCTAGTGTAACAGAACAATTTTAGATTAAAAAAAAAAAATAAAACAAAAGGAAGCATTCTGCCACGATACACTATTCATATCCACTACCCTCTTAATCAATCGAATATTGTACCCTTAACTTAATTATACCAGTTAAAATGTCTTGACATTGTGCTACCAGCAAATAGCTTCTAATCAAGCCCGGAAGCCGTATCGGGAAAGTTCCGGTTTCCTGAAGCCAGGTCTATCCGTTCTTATCTCAGTAAGAATTTTAAGTGCTGTATCTGATGGGATCTTGTTTCAAGAGTTGGATATGCTAAGTGCATTTGACTTGACGTGAAAAGAGATATTAATGAGAAAGTGTTTATACATTCTGCTGTTTGTGGGATTTTTTTTTTTTTTTTTTTTTTTGTTCTTGTTGGATTCTTTTTACCGATTTGGTTTTGTTTCATTTTAGTTTTAATAGGTTAGATTCCAAAGCAGCTGACCGGATGTTCATGCTATTCCATTTGATGAGTTCCGCTACAAAATAAGTTTTTATTAAAAAAAAAAAAAAAAAAAAAAAAAATAGAAAAAGAAAAAAAGAAATAAAAAAGTGAATTCTTTTTCAAATGCATTTTATGATAAATAAAAGAGAAAATTAATAGGGTGACGTCATCGAGATTTCATATTTTTGTAAAAAGGGACGAAAAGCTTATAATTCTTGAAGCTTTTTTTTTTATCTTTACTTATTTTAGAATTTAAAATTCGAAAATAATATGTTCTGAGTTTTCAGAATCTCTTTATTCACATTTTGTTAATATATTTGTATTTTATTCTTATTTTTTGCTTTTTTTTTTGTACATCATTTTTATTTTGTTATTTTATTGATAATTCATTCTGATTTGCTACTTTATTTGTAGTTTATTTTTATTTTTTTGTTTTATCGGTGTTTCCTTCTGATTTTGTTACTTTATTTTATTTTGTTACTTTATTGGTAAGTCATTCTGATTTCTTATTTTATTTTTATTTTGTTACTTTATTTGTACTTTATTTTATTTTGTTGCTTTATTGGTAAGTCATAGTGATTTTGTTAATTCATTTGTACATTATTTTTATTTTGTTACATTATTGGTAATTCGTTCTGATTTTGTTACATTATTTTTACTTTATTGCTACTTTGCTACTTATGTTGCAATTCGTTCTGACTTTTTTTTTATTACTTTATTTGTAATTTATTGGTATTTTATTTCTACTTCATTATGACTTTGATTATTTTTACTTTGTTACCATTTTCACTTTGTTTCCTTAATTTACATTCCCTTATTCTTATACTTTAATTGTACTTTATTCTTTGTTATTTTACCTTATTCTTTGTTACTTTATTTGGAAGTTATTCGTATTTTGTTGCATTATTCTTAATGTATTATTATTTTGTTAATTTATTTGTACGTGATTCTCATTTTTTAATTTATTTTTACTTTATTCTTATTTTTTCAATCTGTTTGTACTTTATAATTCTATAACTTTATTTGTACTTTATTTTTTAATTTATATGTACTTCATTCTTCGTTATTTTATTTTTTTTACTTTGTTACCTTATTCTGTAATGCTTTGTTCATATACTTTTCATTAGTCATTGTTACTTTATTTGTAATTTATTCTATGTTATTTTACATTATTCTTATTTTGTTACTTTATTTGTACTTTAGTCTTACTTTGTTATTTTACATTGTAATTACACCCACCTCGCTTTGTTACTTTATTTCATTATTCTTAATTTGTTAATTTATATCCTTTTTTTATTTTCTTTCTT